TCTTACTCATTGTAAACTAGAAATGAAATCAGACTAGAATTACACTTCTCTGCAGGAACTCTTAATAATCGATGTCAGTGCAGCCAGGACTTCAAAGTTTAGTTGGAAATTATTTCAATCCAGAACTTTATACTAAATGAAACTATTTACCAGTTTTAGAGCAGAATAGATAAATTTTCTGATATAAAAGGACCACTCCACTCCCCAGACACCCTTTCTGAATAATTATTTGAGGGTGTGCTCCATCAAAGCAAGGGAGTAAGCAAGGAGGGAACATGAGACAAGAGGCAGGGATCGGTTCGCCAGCTCAGAGGAGCAATGACACCTAATGAAGACGATAGCTGTGCGGGAGGCCTGGCGGGAGAGCAGCCTGAGGAGGAAGATGGACAGCCTGAGCACAGATGCAGCCGTGTCACTGGGTGGTACTATGCGAAATTGGCAAAAGCTTGGGCATAGAGAGAGGCAGAGAATGCAAGAAATAAAACGATGATTAGAGAATAAGGGAGGTGGAGGTGAGCCAGACAAGACAGTTATGACCCAACCATGATATAAACTATTTGAAGTAGAAAAGGAAGACAGGGCATTTCAAGAAAAAACTGAAATTGATTCCAAATAATAGAGTAAATGAAGAGCTGAGAGACAGCTAGGGTCTGCTGAGGAAGGCATATTTAGCAAAATTTCTTCTTGTCTTACAACAAAGAAAAAACAGTATTCAGAAACTCCAACAACAAAAACGTTATGGGAAAGGCATGGTGTCAAGATGAAGCAATCACAATATTTGGAGGAATATTTTAAAAAGTAGATTCCATTCAAAACTGGTAATAGAAACTGAGTGGCACTGGGATTGTAAAATTGGTGGTTTTCTCTGAAAGAAAATTAGATAGTTGTGAAAATGTGAACACTGTTTATTGAATTCTTATTAAATCAGCCTGGTCATATCACAGGAGATAAAGGAGACAATAGTTTCAAAGTGGAATGTAAATGTGATCACTTTGATCATTTAAACGTAAAGGGAAAGTGACAAAGGGCAGGAGAGAGGAGTGACAGGCACTGTGGGCACGGGGGGAGATGGAACAGGTGGCTGCTGATGTCCTCAGATGGAGAGAGAAGGAGCAAGAGTTACCCTCTGTCATTCTGGAACAAGGAATGAATGTTTAAGTGGACCATTTGAAATTTCAGAGGTGACCACAGAAGAAACTAAAACAAATAGAAAATTACATAGGAGAAAGAAGAGGGCTCTGGGTGATCATGTACGTAAACTAGACAGACGGCCGAGGTGTAGAGTTAATAAGTCGAGATATAGTAGTATAAGGTCATTTACAGGTTGGGAGTATTGAGAAGGGAGCTCTAGGCAGTGAGCTGTGACCAGTGGGAGTGGAGATGGGCCAGGAGAAGCAGGAGACGGCAGGGATCTCATTTTAAGGCCTTCTGATGGATTTCCTCTTTAACGTGCGCACGTTCTGCTTTGGTAGTTACTCAGTGCATTTCCTGTGGTTCCCACATGCACACCCCACGTTTCCATTCCCTGCCGGAGCTGAGAACCACTGACCTAGGAGTCTGTACTTAGTGGAGTTGCAACATCTTCTCCCTGTAAGTTATGCGAAGTCATGTATTCATGGAATAACGCTTTTAAAATATTATGACCCACTTCAGTGATTACCAGTGGATAACCTTTGAAATTTCAGACAGTGCTCCATTTTCTCTCCTGAAACTCGTTTTCTTTTTCTTTTAGTCTTTCTTACTTCTTTCTCCAGCATCTCAAAGGTTTTTTCTCTCTGTCTTCCCTGACAACACTGAATTAGCCCCTTATACTACATACTGACTCCTAAACTCCCCAAAAGGGCCATGACAAACAAAATACCTACATTCAGTAGTCTGGAAATCAGTTTCCTTTTTTTATTGCTATGGCATCTCTAAGAGAATGTGAATTATCTTTGTTAGAATGTGTTCTCTTGGATGATCCCTATTTAAAAATAATCAGAGAAATCTGGGTGAGAATCATCCAGGTAATTACATTAATTACGTTCCAGATGAAAACCCTGGTTTTAGTGTATAGCATCATTTGATCGCTTCATTTTGCCTACATGAAAGGTCTGTGGCCATCTATTCTGAAGAAGTGTAGCTTCAATTGGAGGGACAAATAATTGACGTGGTACTTTAAAATCTTTCAGGTTTGTCACTTACAAAATAATTTGATTTCACGTTTCATTTGCACTGCAAGTCTTACTTGTATTACTGTTATACTGACCTCTTCTGGATAATTCTTCAAATGTCATCCTGAGCGTATGCCAGCTCTATTTTATTTTTAATGTTATCATACACTTTGGAATTGATAGGGTAAAAACGCTGAGTCTGGTGTAACTATTCAAAGTTCAGTTACTTGAAGGCTCACTACACGTGGGTGCCGAGTCCAGTAAAGAGAAGAGGTATATGACCAAGGATGGCAATGTGAATGCAAATAGTTATAATAAGTTTAAAAACACATATAAAATGCTGAGAGTGGCATGTGAACAGACTTTTAAAAGTTAAATAGAAGTTCTGTTTAACCCTAGTCAGAGATATAGCCGGCACCCAACAGCATCGTGACTTTTGTGGTTTCTTATGGAACCTAAAGAACGAGGGACAGTAGAGATGGACACGGCCCAGTCGTAAAGGTGTGTGCGCCCCGTCAAGAACTTGGCACTGTATCCTGAAGGCTCGCTGAAGGGCTTTAAGCAGAGGAGTGATATGGACAGAATTACCTGTTCTCGGCGTTTCTCTGGGCCTGAACAACATGAGCTAGGATAGTCCCAGCTCTTCATGGCAACTTCTTTAAACTTCTCTATTCTGTCCAAACTTTGAACTGTCTCATCTCGTGTCACCATTCTCCCTCCACAGATAACCTTACTTCATGTCAAAAACAAAAGTAAGTAGTTCAAAATGAACCACATCGCTACTAGAAATTTCCTGTTTTCACTAGTTCTAAAAAATGATCCCCAAAACCCAACCTCTTAAGTTACGCAGCAAGCAGCAGGGTTGGCTGCCCCCAGGCAGAATCTGGAGTTTTAGGAGAGGAAGCCAGGAGGAGGGCAGGACTGCTAACTGATGGCCAGAGGGAGGATGAGGGCAAATTCTAGAAGGGCCCTATGGGAGGTAGGACTGTGGTTAGAATCATGAGAGCCAAAGGACTTCCAGACTCGCTTCTGTCCATGCCCTTGCCAGCTTGTAACCTTGAACAAACTATTTTATGTCTAGTGAAATGTTAGACTAGCTTTTCTTCAAGGCCTCTTACAGCTTTAAAATGTTATGATTCCTTTGAAAACGTGACGTGTGTGTGTGAATTACAAACTTAAGCTGGACCTACATTAGAAACCTGGAAGATCTAGTTTTAATAATTTCATCTATTCTGTAAAATCAGATTTGTTCTCTGTCAGCCTCCTACAGGACTAAAAGTAGTCTTGGTAAACGTGAATGGACATCAAATACATAGCATGACTAATTTTTACACAGCAGTCCTCAAAAATTGAAAAGTTCATTGCTGTAAAACCAGTTTCCTGGGGCTGGCCCTGTGGCCAAGTGGTTAAGTTTGGGCACTCTGCTTCAGCAGCCTGGGGTTTCGCGGGTTCGGATCCTGGGTGCGGACCTAGCTCTGCTCATCAGGGCATGCTGAGGCGGTGTCCCACATAGCAGAGCCGGAGGAATCTACAACTAGAATATACAACTATGTGCTGGGGGCCTTTGAGGAGAAGAAGAAGAAGAAGAAGAAGAAGAAGAAGAAGAAGAAGAAAGGTTGGCAACAGATGTTAGCTCAGGTGCCAGTCTTTAAAAAACAAAATTAAAGTTTACTGACTGATGAAACGTTCCTTCAATATGTATTCAACCAGAATACTGAGTTAGGAGTTTCAAATTTTGGCTTTTCAGACACATACTGATACAAAAATACATCTCATATCATCATTGTTAAATATATATTTTTGTTAAAAATTGATAGTTATGCTATAATTTTATATCTAACTGAAGTGCCATGATAGAAAAAATAGTAATATGCAGAGAATTCATGAAAGATTTTTAAGTGTTTTGTAAATATGTGATTAGTTGAAGCTGTATCAGCTTTTAATTGAAGGCCTACAGCTGTTGCTGTAAGAAGCATCAAATTTCAAAAGTTAGAGTACGAGTAAATAGAATCAGCGGAAAGTTCTCCTGAGAAGAAAATAAAATGAAAATTAAGCATATGGCTTATCATTACATTGCTTCTCCAACTCAAGGTTTGGTACTAATATACAAATTTCAGATATATAATTTAGTCATTTTAATTCATGCTGCTAACCAGGCTACATACAAATAATGAAAAATAAAAGACTAAGATTATTCAAAATTTTGATATTTATTCTATTTTCTTTAACTTTATAAAAATTGAATGATCCAAGTCTTATTCTTTTTAAATAAAGATGAGGCACCACAATCACATTGTTACAGTCACATAATTTGTTAAGCATAATATAAATTTAGTTTACCAGAAAAGAACTGTCATAATTTTAGCATGTAGAGTTTGTTTACCTTCTGTTTATTAAGATGATCATTATTTAAGGTTGTCTCCTCAAATATTAAAGTTTTCACTTAAAAAGAGGTTTATAGAAAGTGCTTTTTAAAAAGCAACTATTATATGATAATATACAGTTTACTTAGATGAAAATAGTATCATTTAAGACGAATAAAGTCATAAATTCTAAATATCACGTTAATCTGAAGTGATTTTTCATGAGATTTTGTCAACATTGGATTGTACTGGAAACTAGTTTCAAAGTTTTTTGTTATTCATTTAAGGTAAAGTTTTATTTAGAAAGTTGTAATTACATAAGACTATCATGATTCAGAGTTTAACTGTTGGTTTGGTAAGAATTTGATTTTTTGGCACACTTTGAGCTGTGTCCTGGAATTGGTGCCCGAACAGTTTTAAGTGTGGTGTGAGCTGTTTATGTCACTGAGTAAAATTAGATACGCCTGTTGCTAATATGAGGGGATGAAACATGAGACAAGGGCAGACACCCGAGCCTTTCTTCAGGCGTCGCTGGTGAGGCCTGGGTCGTCCACTCTCGTTCTGCAAGGAATGGGGAAGTTTGAAACGTCCTGCCTCTGATAGAGCCGAGCTGGCTGTGGTTCTGTAGCCGCTGTGCTTTTTATTAATACATGCAAGGTAAGAAATCAGTTTTCACTTGGGTTTTATGTAATTACAGTGTACAACTTAAAAACCAAATAGGTGTAAGTTTTCTTGATTCTTTTTCCTTCAAATGTGACATAATACTTAATAAATTAAATTTAAAATGTTGAAGAAATTTATCTCAAAATGATTATATATTATCAACAAAACTTAGTTAACTTATCAATTCAACTCAAGTTATTCTGACTACTGTTATTTATTTTTAGCATAATTTATATTTCTAATACTTTTAATTTGTAAAATAGCATGACAGCATTTATCAGGCATGAAATTTCACACTGTAGCTAATCTAGACAAAGTATAATCTTTAAGATCACCAGCTTATAATTCCACTCTTAAATTTTTGTGGTGGAATTACGTTTGCTTTACGTTTTGCCGATAGTTTTGTTATAGACATTAAAAACAAATTAAATTTAATAAGAACAAAACCAGGTCATCTGATAAATTGAGAATAAGCCAAACAAGAGAAAAACACCAACTTTGGCTTTCCAACTATTCTTGGAGTGAGAAAGGGCAGATTATTTCTCTCCCAAAATCTGGAAAAAATTAACTGTTGCTCAAAATATTTATCAAAAAGTAAATATAATAGGGTAAAAGGTAAACTTGCTCACGCTGGCCTCCTGCCGCTCTCGGTTCTTTCTTTGTGTTTCCCAAGTTAATCTGGGCCGATCGGAAAACAAGTTTTTAAAGGAAGGCGTAGAGAAAGATAATAAGGGAAAATATAACTCAAGCGGCTGAAAGATTTGCCAGCAGGACGGAGTAACTCCCTAGAACAAAATGAACTACAGAATGTACCAGGTTTATTTTTTGCTTATTTTCTTGGAAACATTTTGTAAAGATAGGTACAAAGAGGCACACTTACAAAGTTTCCAAACTAATGGTTCAAGTTGGTGTCAGTTTTATAGATTCTGGGATTTACCTAAGGTTTACTTCCAAAGCCAAATGAAAAGTACTATTTTCATATATTTAAATATTAAGTCGGAGTTTCCAAAAGATGCATGCTGGCTAAGCTTGAGGTTGAAATGCTGAAAATAAAATTGTTGCATATTGTCCTTTAAAAACTATGCTTTCTAGTCATTAAATGAAGTTGCTATTATGTTGAATATGAAAATCAGATAATAAGTGTAAATGGAGTGGGTGCCCGTTAGTTTCATTTTGCATATTTCATAGGACCTGTGGTTCTCCCTCCGCTCCTTATTCTACTTGGCTCACCACAGCCCCTGGCTTCTTCTCAACAAAGCCCAGCCCTCCTAAGCCACATTGCTGGCATGTCCTAGTGGGAAGGAAGAAAACTACAGCCCTCAGTCTGATTCTGCTGCTTTCCCATTCCTTCAGAACCTGCCTCCACGTTTCTTTCCGTCCTTCCCTCTTCCTTGTCTTCTCGCCTAGGCAGCGTCTGCCTAGCTTTGGTATTCTCTGGACCTACTGCAGGGCCACATATTTCTATGGTGTTTCGTGAGTGTGATAGAATTCCTCACCCGCAATAGTTGCCACTTCAGACTCCAACTTCCTTTTTAGTTTTATATGTTATTATGCTGTAAAGAATTTTATGGGAAAATGGATGCAGGAGTATTTAGTAATTTGTAGATTTGTAGAAGTCTCAAGACTTCTCTCAGAATCCCTCAAGATGTCCAGGTGTACTTGACGTTAGTGTGAGGGTGTGCAGTGTCCCACTGATGACAGCTGAGGCTGGGAACTGCGGGAGGCTCGCTTATGCCCAAGGGGATTCGTGCTTTGTCCTGAAGCAGTGGGGAGCCGGCTGAGCATTTACAACAGAAAAGTCGCACAGACAGATTTGTTCTTTGGGAAGATCCCCGTGGTTGACATGGAGAATGGATTAGGGGCGTGGAGGGAGGAAGAGGGGAGAAGTTGTAAAAAGTCAAAAGACGGCCTCAGCTGAGGACGGGAAATGGAGCAGGAGGGATAACCAGCAGGAGGAGTCCCTGCCATGGAGATGGCCACCTTAAAACCTGACCTCTTTATGACTATTTTAACTCTATTTTAAATATTCTCAATTAGTTTTACTTTTGAAACAGCTCTGAAAAGCATATTATCAATGAAGAGGCAGTGATGACAAGTTTAGACTGTGGAGTCAGACTGCCACTTTCTAGCTGTATGATGTGTGAATTACTTAATTACCCTGCCTCGGTTTCCCTATTTGTAAAAATGGGGATAATCACAGCATCTACCACCTAGGGTTATAATGAGTATCAAATTCAGTCCACGTGAGGCACTTGGGAAGTGCCTGACCTCTTGGTGAACAGGAGCTCTGCTCTGCCTCCTCCCCCTCCTCCTCCTCCCCATCCTCGTCAATGACCAGGAAACATAACCTCTTATTCTCATCCCCACTGAGAGCGGGGTCAGGGAGGAGCCTCAGAATGTTGAATGATCGGGATTTCCAACCTGCTTCTCCAGGCCCCGAAGTCACCATGAGCCCCACGTGGGCGGGAGACTCTCGGCTGAGGCTGCTTCTGCTCGAGCAGAGAATGCTCTCTGCACGTGTGTGCATTCCGGCGTGCGAATAGGAAGCTCCCCCGACAGTCTGGCCACCTGAAGGAAACCCCTAACAGTGCCTTCAGTATTTCTGAAGGAGAAAAGCAAATGACTGCTTAGGTTTCCTATGGGTGCTTTCCTTTCATCAAACATTTTAGATCTTAATGAAAATTTTATATAAAATAAAATGTTAATCTCAGTGAAACGTGGAAGTATGCTGTCCCCATGAAATCACCAGAATGATTTCAATGTGTACTTTTCACAACATTTGAAAATCACTTTAAATTGTCACCCTCCAGGCTTGAGGAAAAGGTGACTACCAGGGCAGAAATGAATCATGGCCCTGAAGTCCTCTGAAACGTTTTAATGAACTGTCAAAGCAGTCGGAAAATTGCACATACACCACATTTCATAAAGGCCTTAATTATGTCTGCCTCAAGAGTATTTTTGCTTTAAATCTTTCACATAGATGCTTGCAACTAAAAAGCTCAGCTTTGTTGATAGATTTAAATAACTTTCTTTTCTGAAAATTTGTCCTTAATTTTATGTGGATATTTTTCAGAGTTAGAATCTAGTTAAATGCTATTTTTAGGGAGTAGGCAGATTGAAGTTTTGAGGGAAGGGGTTATACGTTGGTTTGCCTGAAAATTTAAGCTTCAGTTATAAAACCTCAAAGACTTTAATGAAGTAGATGGCAGGCTACTTTATTCTGTCGGGTTAAATGCAGCTTTCATGTGTAATTTTAATTTAAGAATACACCTGTCTCTTTGTAAAGAATGTCAAACTTCAGAGTCCTGTCTACACAGGAGAAATGGTTCTGGAATATACACTGGTCCCCCTCACACAGCTGGTACTTTAACTGGCTACTAAATGTCCAGTAAGGCTTCGCACACACTTCTCTGGAGAATTTCCCTCACCTCAACCCACACTTTCGCCTCGCTCCATCTCCTGCCCCAATCCACTTCTCTCGTTGCCTGACACGTGCCTCCTGAGAGCATTCCCTTAATAAATCACTCGTTTGAGAATCCTCATGTCGGCTTTGCTTCTAGAGAACCTCACCTACTTAAGATGTATAGATAAAATGGAGCAGTGTTCTGCTGAGAAACCTATCAGTGTATCCGATAACGTTTTAAACTCCCAGTCTTTCCAAAAGCAATTGTTTAGACAGGTTTCCCCAGGAAACACTCTGAGCTGGAGATTTACATGCTGGTTTATTAGAGAACGCCTTCAATAAAAACACCTGTAGAAGATCAAAGGCTGCAACTGGCAGAAGGAGACGTTAACAGCAATGTAGTTGCAACTGAGCTGGGATGGCCCTTCAGAGTTGTCCTCAAATCGAGGAAGGGGCTGGGTTTTTGCACCCCTGCACTGATCAAAAAATGGATATGGGACATACTGTGGGGGCTGCTGCTCACTGCAGTCAAAGTATAGAAGGAATTATCAACAGCTATCACTCCTGGCAACTGGAGGAATGAGGTTCTGAAGAGTGACCATGGTGGGAAGCCACTAGAGTCCACCCCTTGCATCGCTCAGATTCTCTTGCTTCATATACCTATATACGGCTCCCCCAAGATTCTGCTGGGGCTCTTTTCCTGAGGAAACCACTGAAGGAATGTCAATGGGATGAACTCCAACCTCCACAGCTGCAGCTGGTCTCCAGATGGCAACTAATACTCATCATCCCTCCCTCCCACCCGCCACCCCAACCACCCATTCATTCTCAACTAACACCTTTGCTGCTCTAGCTTGCCGACCTGGTGTGCTGGCCCTGACATTCAACTCTGAGGGGTCTGAGCCCTTGGTCATCATGCCCTTTGGCTGAGCACTTGGCCGTTTGCTACAAAATGGTCAGGGAATACCAAGAAATGCCCTGTTGGTCATCTGGGGGACAGACATATTCTCCCCAGCCAATCTACTGTCAAAATGGTGCATCTTTTCTTTCTAACTGGTATCTTGGTTTGAAGAGCTGAAGTGACTGGATGGCAGCTTGAAGATTAATGGGACTCATGTTGCACCCCCCATAGAAGCATTCCCCAGGGAACAGACTCCTAGATCCTCAGAGCCTATAGTTGTGGGGACGGAAGGCACAAATTTCCCATCTGGGTCATTAAAAGTAATGGTAAGAAAGACCACTCCTACTTTCACCCTTGGTTCCCAGGCCCATGTATTCTGCCCCTTGGAGATGCAGCCCCCTAATGGTTGTTGATTTAGGGTGTTCAGTCTGCATCCTGAGGCATCACTCATCCTCAAAGGGGATCTCCAAGCCGGGCCTCAGCAGCAACTTTAAAAGGCTGTCCCATCACCCTATCAGGCTGGCAGCTTCTGGGAACTACAATAGGTGATGAGGGCAGTAGTTCCCATTGTCAAGTGCCACACTGCCTTTGCTGTAGAGCGGATCATTTGGTTCATCGCAATGTCATGTGGGGTCCCACATATGTGGATCAAACATTCTGTAAGCCCTTGGATCGTGATGCTGGCCGAGG